TTTTGCGGAAAAGCGTCCTGCCAATCTAGATGCTCTTTTCCGAAAATGCTTTTAACAGAAAACTTTTCCGTTAAAAGCATTTCCGGAAAATCATGCCAGTCTAGACGTAGCCACATGGTACTCATGTAAAAGACTGAAAAAGATACCAGATAGTGGAGAAACAGGCCCTGAGAGATTAAATTATTCCTCTGAGATCAAGCTACGGGACACTAGCAAAGACAGGATTAGAAATCAGGATGTCCTAACTTCTAATCCTCTGCTCAGTCCGTGCTCTCTTAACAGTAAAAGCTGGAAGAAGCCCAGGGCTGATATCCTGGTTCTACTGAATTTAACAAGAGTTTTGCCATTCACTTCAGTAATACTAGGACTGAATCCCAGAAATAGTTACAAGGTTCATTCCTCTAGGGCAGTGGTCCCCAACCTTTTGGGGCTGCTGGGCGCCTGGGGGCGGGGCCGCTCACTTTTGCGTGTACGGGGGCGGGGCCACTCACAGGCCACGTGACTGGGGGCGGGGCCAAGCATGCGCCACACCCCCGAGGCCGGCAGCGGCATGTGCAGCGATCCTGGGCAGGGACTGCCCAGGTTCCGCACGGCACCCCTAGGGCCGGCAAGGGCGCACCCGGGGCCGGGGCCGGGGCCGGGGCCAGGGCCGGAGCCAGAGCCGGCCATGCACCCGGGGCTGGCACCTGCTGCACGCCCGGGGGCGGGGCCAGCCCAGGTTGCTCTGCGGGAGCACGTAAAGGGCCTGGCGGGCGCCATGGCGCCCATGGGCACCGGGTTGGGGACCATGGCTCTAGGGGAATGGAGTTGTTAGTTAAATGGTTTGGACCTAACCCCATTCTCACTGAAATCAATGAGCGCTTTTGTGCTCTGCTTTATACTAGAAAGTTATTTCAGAATAACACCCCCTTATTTTGAAATAAGTGAAGCGTCCACACTGCCACGCTCATTATTTCAAAATAACAGGCTGATTATTTCAAAATTGGTACTCCCGCTTTCCTTGGGGAATAACGCTATTTTGATGTTGTTATTTTGGGAATTATTCTTTCAAATTTAGTTATTTTGAAATAATTTCCTAGTGTAGCTGTGCCCTGCCATTCATATCAGTGAGAGCAGGACTGGGCCATTAGACACTTACTACCATTAATTCAAATGGCTTGAAGGTGCCCTTGAATAGAGAGCCAACAGTTGGACTAAACTTCTGTGTAATGTTGCTGCTGAGCTGCTTTCCGTCTTAACATGCTATTTCGTGTGGATGCTGGATTTAATGGGCACACACACAGCATGCAGCAGCACAGCAGAAAATATGAGCCACTCTGGACAGCACTGTGGTTTTGGTACTTTGAAGCCAAACAGCCAAGCCCAGTTCCTAATTCAGGGAGCATCCTGTCCTTCTAGTGCTCATTTGTATACTGTACTATCTGCCTGAATTATGAGGTCTCCGCAGCTCTAAGGAGAATGCTGCCATCCACCAGTGCTCAACACCAGCTCACTGAGGAAAAAACAAGCTGCCAAGTGAACTGTGCATGTAGAGAGCCAGCACAGTGCTTGATTACTGTTATTTAATAGATTAGTTTTGAGAAAAATAAAAGTTGAGAGAGGCAACGGATTTTTATTTTCTTCATTGCCAAACTATTTTCCTCTTCCATTTCCTTGTGGCCCGGGTGTTCCCCTGGAAAGTCAGACTGGGTTATTCAGCCAGGCAGTTTTACTGTCTGGATCAGAGCTTTGCAGCCACTAGCACCTATCCCAGTTATGGGCCCTCATTTTAGTAACTGGTACTCTAGATTCCTCCTCCAGATCAGAACAATGAGCTTCTGTTCTGGGCTGCCAGGGAATTCTGCTGTTTGTCTTCCACAAGGGACTTCTGGCTGCTCCAAACACCAATGCCATAGTGGCGTAGGACTCAGGGCTTCACTTTGGATTTCAGCATGCTAAAATGGGGGGAGAGGGAAGGGCATTGGTTCACACAGTGTCGCTCTCCACATGTGAGAGGCTTGCATGCTCATGGTTCTCAGGTTGCTACACATGTACTGTTGTCCTGAAATGATTTGCAACTGCTGGGGCACGCTTCTGGCCTGTTTGCCCTTTATTTGTCCCACTCTGATATTTCCTGAAAGAATCATCCCTGCACGCTAACACTAGCTTTAAATAACAAATGCCATTTGAATATCAACATTGGACAAAAGAACTGTTGAGCAGCTTAGACAACTACTAACTAATAAGCTAAAAATCAAAAGAAAATCCTGTCTGTGGAGATAACAATGGGATTTAAAGTGATACAGACAAAGAGAGAGAAAGAGAGAGACGTGCATTGCTCAGATTGGTTACCTTAAGAATAATTTCTAATGTAAAGATACTAGTGAAGACATAGTCTGCATTGCCTAGGATCTGAAAAATAAGCACAATTGGGTTAGTGGTACGGTGCATGACCCAATACAAACAAGTGTGTGTGTTAGCAACAGATAGTGGCAGAGAACTAGTAAACTCATGAGTGAAAGATAATAATGGTAGAGAAGATGGGGACTTTACCTTCAGAGCAATTTCAATGGTGAAAATGACAGTAAAAACTATATCAAAATAAAAGAGAATCTGTAAAACAAAAGGGAATTGAGGCGGAGGGGGAGATCAGTGAATGATCACTGGAATGAGAAATCACCATTCAAAATCAAAATACAAAAGTCTTTTCATAGGAGGGCAGGAAGAAATAGATGGGAAATGGTTTGGTAAGAACATCCTGTTGAACTCAATGAAGTTCTTGGTATAGGATACAGGAAGCATATTAATGAAATCTTTGCTGTGAGCTACACTCCTATGTGGCTTCAGAGGCAAAATAATATTTTTTAAATTTAATTTAATTGTATAAAGAATGCAAGGGTTTCCCAAAGACATTTCCAAGGGGAGAATGCAAGGATATCTGGTCTCTCCATGGAAAACATGTGATTCCTTTTTATTAACTTCCATTCAGGTTTTCTGTGTCCTTTACAGAATAGGGGAAAAAGGCTCTGAATTGCAGTGCAGTGGCAGCTACTGATCTTTTTTCTCTATTCGGACTTGTCATGAATTGGGGTGAATAACAAGCATATACATTTGCAAATTAAACAGAATCATAGCTTTATGTCCAGAAGGACACAAGACAGAATGGCAGGTCCTGAGGTGTAAAGCAACATTCAAAGCAGGTAACAGCAGGGATTTGGTTATCAACCTGAGTCCCATTAAAGCTAATAGGAGATTTGCCATTGACTTCAGTGGTACCAGAATTTGACCGTATATATTTAAGATGAAGGAGAATATCCCTGTCACAATCAAATCTCCTGCTATCCCCCAAACTTTTCCTTCTAACTGCACTATTAGCATTGAAATTGTGAATATATTCTCTTTGCATTACTTTCTCGTAAGTTTGATGAAGCTTTAGATTTAATAGTCTCCGAAGGGAAGTGGTGAAAGCCCCACCACTTGGCAAATATACAGCCAGATTGAACAAAACAATAGTAAACATATAATCTTTCAATGGCAGGGAGATAGACTGCATCACATAGTAGATCTTTCCTGCCTCTAGATTTTATGGTCAAATCCCGACATGATGTAATGGTAGCAAAACCTGCACTTATTGACTAGATTCTTGCTTATTATTATACCATGTAAATATAGAGTAACTATTGCATTCACTGGGGTTACAGTGGACCATACCATATAAATGAGACCAGAGACCAGCCCATTTGTCAAACTGGAACAAGTTATACTACACAGCAACTTACACTTGGAATTTGACTTAAATCAGTATACGTTACTGCTGAATTGAACCAGAGACTGCCACAGAAGTTGTACCAAGTGGTACCTATTTATTTCAGGCTGGGTTTGACCATAGATGTCTTGGTAACTTGAAAATGAAAAGGGCCATTTCAAGGATACTCAGACCCCAAATACAGCCTCCATTAATTTAGGTATATTATAATTGGAAATGCCCTCCTTACTCCAATCTGCTGGGCTTTTGAGAGTTGATTATTATGTCAGTAGATTAATTTTATAATTAATGGCTCAGATTCCCTTGTACCCCTCTGGCTACTATGCATCACTCCAGCAATGCAAAGCAGGCATAAACTTGACGACAGTGGTTGATTCAGATGGGTTTGAAGATGTTCTACCTCACCAGAGCTGTGCAGGGCAACTGGAGCGTACCGGGGACTCTGACTCAAATGCGGCATCTAGCACAGGTTTCACATATTAACAAAGTTGTACCTATTGGAAACGATTGCAGGTCACCTCTGAATGGAGCTTTATTTTGCCAGCAGGTCTTACCAGTGTGGTTATTATTATTTAAAAGGTGGACAAATTGAAATGAAAACAATCCTGCTGGGCTGGAATGAGTTCTCCCTTCAAATATACTTCTATACAGGGCTCAGCTGGACCTTGAAGGCACAAGTTGGTGCTGAAGTTGGATGGAGGTGCAGCTCTTAGAGGCACTGGTCTGAATGCACAAAGTGAGTTAGGTGTTGTGACACTCACATCCCTCTGTCGGCAGAAGGATGCAGATTAGGCAGGTCGACATTGCAAATGAAGCAGGGATTTAAATATCCCACGCCTAATGTGCATCAAAATGGCCACCGCGTTTTGCTGACTCTGCACTTTGTCAGCAAAAAGCAGCAGTCTAGAGGGGGATCTGTCGAGAAAGAAAGCCTTTTTCGACAGATCCCTTATGCTTAAGGGATCTGTCGAAAAAGGCTTTCTTTCTCGACAGATCCCCCTCTAGACTGCTGCTTTTTGCTGACAAAGTGCAGAGTCAGCAAAACGCGGTGGCCATTTTGATGCACATTAGGCGTGGGATATTTAAATCCCTGCTTCATTTGCAATGTCGACCTGCCTAATCTGCATCCTTCTGCCGACAGAGGGATGCAGTCTAGACATACTCATAATGCTTAACCTTAGGTGCCTAGGAAATCACTGCAATTCACAAAGCTTGAGTTAGGTACCAAACGAATGGGGGAGAAGCAGGCCCCTTTGCCTGTGATTCACAAAAGCCCTAAGCTAGCCAGTGGGAGATGCCAACGATGGGGGCATATGCTAAGCCATGTCCCTGTCTCAGACACAGGGACATAGATCCCAATGGCAGGGAAGTACCTATCTCTGTTAGCAATTCTCAGCTGTGAGCCCCCTCTTGGAATTAGGCACTTTATGCCTTTTTACCAAGAAGCTGAGTATGTGTATGGGGGGGAAAGGGGAAGGACAGGGAGAAGAGAGCAGCTCCCTCACAATTATTTGGCCCAGTGGTTGGGTACTCACTTGGTATGTGGGAGACTCCTGGTTTAAGTCTCTGCCTCCATGTGAGGGGGAAGGGATCTTAGGGTACGTCTACACTACAATGCTATTTCGGGATATTGGAGTACCGCAAAATAGCTATCCTGCATTTTCACAGCAAGCCCGTTATTTTGGGCTCACTAGTCTGACGTCTCAGTAAACCTCATTCTACGATGAGTAAGGGACATTTTGGAATAGTGCTTTATTTAGCATGGATTAAATAAGCTATTTCAAAATAGCATTGAAATAAGATACGCAATTTGCGTAGCTGAAATTGTGTATCTTATTTTGAGTTACGATGCTGTGTAGAAGCACCCTTACAGGGCTCTGCTGCCTCTTCGGTGAGGTCTCTGGTGTATTCTGATGTGGGGCTTCTCGGTCTCTATGGTTGAACTCTGGGTAAATAAGGAATCATTGGAGCAGGGGAACTAGATCCTGAGTCTACCCCCTCTTACGAGAGTGCTCTAACCTCTGGGTTATCAGGTCACTTTTGTGCTTGTGCACTCTCTGTCTCAAAGAGTCATATGATGGTGGTCCTAGTCCTCCCCTGCCTCTGGGCTGTTTTGTAAGAATTTACCAGAGGGAAATGCCTATTGGATTGGCCCCCCCCTGTGACTTATGCAGCTAAATGCCTGTCTTACCCTTTCTGCATTGCTTTAGAGCAGGGGTAGGGAACACTTTTTCGGTTGGGGGGGCCACTGACCCACAGAAAAATCAGTCAGGAGCCTCACACAAGTGAGAAACCAAAAAACCACCACTCACCAGCATGGACTCCCCAATGCTGGGGGGAGCACCAAGCCTTAAGGGTTGGATCCAGGCAAGTTGGGGGCTACATCTGGCCTCCAGGCCTTAGTTTCCTCATCCCTGCTTTAAAGTTTATGTGGGAGAAAGGCAGCAGGATGCCCAGAGGGGCGCAACAGTGCATATCCTCAGAAGCAGAAAGATGGGTGCTTAGAAAAGTTTTAGGTGCCGAGTGAGTTTTGGCACCTCCATGGTGTAGCAGGAGTTTTGTGCATTGCAGCAGTCACCCAAGTGGGAAGTAGGCACCAAATTCCCTTTGTGCATTCAGGGCACAGTGCCCGAGCCCTTGGGAACACAGGGAGAACATAGCCACTGCTCCATCTTGGGAAGGCAAGTACAGTGCATTCCACTGCGGAGAGACAGGGTCTTCCCACTAACTTTTTCTCACTTTCGAAAGCTGCCAAGGCCAGCAATAGCCCTGCAGCGTTCTTGTTCACAGGATAGTGCATGGACCAGACTGTGCTATCCCTGGGTGGAAGCACAAAGGCAGCTAGGCTGCTTGTACTTTCACCCTGCTCAGGGCAGGGTACAATCTTATGCTCATATTGTAAAGGCAGCTCACTTTTGCAACTCTGACATCTCGCCAGTGTTCCCTTACATGATGCATTTTAAACATTTGCACCTGCAAAAATTAAGCATGGATTTTCAAATATGCAAGACAGGCTTTTGCAGCAAACCTCTAGCTCTTCATTCTGTAGTGACAGCTGGAACCCCTTTAGCTAGAGCTGTCTACTAGAGCGTCCGTGGAAATGCTGCTCTAGGTATATCAGCTGCAGAGCCTTGCATTTAGACCTTCATATTAAGTACATTAAGCACATGTGGCTAATCAGTGACAGGTCAGATTATATTGTTCTATGCTCTCTTTAAAGGTGAAATGGAAAATTATGATAAAAACTGAGATAAACTCAGGAACATGTACTACGCAAACCAATCTCTGTGCTGTGCATGTGTGAGTGTTTTGGAGGGACAGTTGGATATTCAGCATTAAATTAAGATTTAACATGCTGTACCAAACATTTAGTTACTGTCAAAAAGTCTTCCAAGCTTTTCCAGAACTAGACTAGAAAAGCTCCAAAATGTCTCTCGGAAATGCAGTGACTAGAAGTCTCACCCCCAACTGCTCACTCTTCTGGTTTCCGTGCCAAACCAGAATAATCGAGGCAAACTCAGGAGAGCAGTGAATTTCCATGAGGGCTAATAAGAGCTTTTACAAAGGTTGATTAGAGTGCATTTCTGGGCGGAGTAAGCCCCACAGCTTGGTCAGGGGAAGCATTTAATACTTATTGGGGGATTTTCTGGTTTGATTATAGCTTAACAGCCGGAACACAAATGTTGATGGCCCAGTTCTAACCTCAGTAGTCCTGGGTTTCCAGCAGTGCAATTGCAGTGCCCTAGAGTGTTACTTCTGATTTACACCAGTATAAGGAAGGTCAGAATTAGGCCCTGAGTTTTTCAAGTGAAAGGCTGGCACACAGCAGGAGAGCTGAAGTTCCAAAAGCCCTTGAAAAACAGAGTTATTTGAAATCCAACATATGTTTCTAGATCCTAGTATTATTGTGACCTGCCCTACCCAAAATCCCAATAGAAAACATTGCCCCCCTCATCCCCCACACTGTGCTTTTCCCTGCTTTCCCCAGCAGAGGTTTGTGATATTGATCTGAGGCCAAATTCTGCCCTGGCTTGCCTTCTCTGCAAGCCCATTCATTTCCCTTGGCCTACTCAGGGCAGCCCCAGAAGTCTGTGATACAGCCCTCTCTGCACTGCCATTAGTTTGTTCTGGCCTGGGTTCATGATCTGGTTGAATCACGCATGTTGGGAGGGAGGGAGGGAGGATGGGAGGCATACTTGGTTCCTAAAGGAGTAGTGTCGGACAGGGTCCTCAGCTGCCAGGGAGATGCTGCTGAGCAAGATGAAAAAGAGGATCAGGTTGGTGAAAATATTATCATTAACGATTCGATGGCAGTGGAGACGAAACCTGCAAGAGAGAGGAAAGACACAACCTTATCCATCAGAACTAGCTGCAGAGAGAGCTAAACGTTGGGACCCCTCCTCCTTTTCACCTGTAAGAGTGTTCTGCATAAGTCCCTTTGACTTGGGGGGAGAGGGGGCGAGAACTAGGCCAGGCAGTTGTACCTGACCCTGCAAGGTGCCGAATGTCTTCGCTCCACCCAGGGAGCCAAGGGAGATGCTTAACATCCTGCAGGACTGGGCGGGCCCTTGGTGCCTCAATGAAGGGAAGAGAGGACGGCAGCCATTCTCTCTACATATGTTTGGGGCCTTATTCCAATTTAGTGGTGTTCTGAAACAAATGACCTCCTTTTGGTTCACCCTGAAATGATACCACTTGCCTCAATTAAAGAGAAAAGAGACAGAAACTCAGGCAGGAGGAATGTTCACAGCTTGTTTTAGCTTCTTTTCTATACATGTTTTTCATTTACTACTGATCCCGAGATGGAACTGGAATTTCTCTGGAGAGGTCAGAAGAGCTCCACTCACTACTAGTGCTTCATGCAATAACAGGAAACCAGGCACAAGTTGGGTCTGGGGATAGGACTTCTAAGGGCCAGCGTCTCTTTGCGGAAGCTCAACCTAATATAAAACAATTCTTATTCTTAGCAGGAACCTAGCAGGCAAGAAATAAAACAGATTCCAGTCAAATGGAAAAATTCCCTCTCCCAATTGACTATGCACCTCCATAGCTCCCGCCTCTCAAATATCCAACAGCACTTTGCAAAGATTTAGGAGTAAAACCTCATCTTATTTTGGCCCCTTTTTTGCGTACAACACTCCCAAGTCCTATAAGCCCTCTTTACACAGAGGTTAATTTGCTTGCCCAAGAAATCACAGTGAGACAGTGGCAGAGCTGGAATTAGAATCCAAGAGGGCTGACTGCTGTTCCCCCACTGCCAACTATATACACCCACACACATTAATCGCATCTGATGACTGGCTTTCTGATACAGTCTCCTGTTGGGACTGTGCTCCTACACAATGCCCCCGTGGAAATTCTGGGAGGCCTTATGCATTAGGCAAACATGTTACTCCGACATTTTTGGAAAGATGCAGCATGCATTCCTTTCTATGACAACCACAGTCCCTCTCTCCCTCCTCCCAACTTTGGAGAACCTAGAGTTATGAATGGCTCTAGTCTCCCATGGTGCTATATTCAGGAGAATACAAGGACCACACTCTTCCTAACCCTGCACTGGCACCCAGGAGAGATCCTCCTTGTGCTCTTTCCCCTTTGCACATCCATGTTTGGCACAGTCATACCACATGTCTTTAGTTAAGTGTGTCTGACACAACTAAGACCCACCCCCCCACACCAAGAAAACACTGCATGTGCTCCTGGGTGCCACATGGTCCTTGTTTTTCCACTGATGTTATTTTTGCTTCAATATGGTACATCAGGAAACCCATCTGTTAATTAGACTCCAAAGTCTTTGCACTGTCCCAAGTTGTGAGGATGGTGTTTACTTAACATAAATGGAAGCATACTAATGGATGCAATTACTGACATTTGCAACTAAAAGGGAACAGGGCAGAGAAGAGAGGACTTGAGGGAACTGTTAATGACACAAGAAGCTTTTCCTCACTAATTCACCAACTCAATCCAATCTTACTTTTACTGAAATCAATGAGAGTTTTGTCATTAACTTCAATGGGAGCAGGTCCCTAATGACTGGCAATCATTGGCATTGGATGGCTTTACAGTGACCTATATACAATAGGGTTGTGGTCTCACGAGCCTCTTAGGATCACTATCTTATTCTACACATGACTGGCCACCAAGCAGACTTCACATGGGAATACCCTTCAGTGGCTGCTGATCATGACAGATCTGGACTGGTGGCTAACAGATGAAAGGCTGTCCATGCCGTACCGATCCTTCAACCTCTCCGGACCCCCTAGCTGACGTATTTTATTTCTAATGCCCAGGTTTCTTTTTTTAACTTTGGCAGAAGCTATCCCAGAGTTCTGTGCTGGTTGGTGTGGTACAGCCCTCCTGAAGGCAAGAAGGTGGTTCAATGCACCACATCCTTTGTAGGGGGACAAGGGTAAAGCACATTTCCCCAGAATGGGCACCAGAAAGACTGTGCTGGTACCAAATGCTCTCTGCAGCAGGCCAGCTCTGCTCTGTGGAGCCATGAGTTCCCCTCCTCCATCCCCTTTTTAGCATGCTCTTCTTTGTGGGGCAGAAGGGGGCTGAACAGAGACTCACTCAGCTAGAGAGCTGGGGTCAGAGGACTAAATGACAGATGAAGAGTCTCCCAGAAGGAAGCCTCAGGGGCACTGCTCCATCCCAGAGTACGTAAACTGGATAACCATGCTATTGAGAAAGACTCTGTTGGTCAGACTAAGGATTGAGCCTGAGGAGTGATGAAGAGACACAGCCAACTGAGGGTACCCACAATGGGCCCTTTTGGACTGCTAAAGGACTGAGCCAGGAAAAGCTGCAGAATGTTATTGAGTGCTTTGAGATAGGCCTGGTTGGACAGTATACCCTGGAAGAGATTTGGGTTTTTTTTAGTTTCGCACATGACCTGTGTGTGATTCAGCCAGAGGGTTGAGTCACTGAAAACCCACCTGATAAGCACAGCAGCTGACAGAGCACTGTGAGTGGAGCAAACTGAGAAAAGTGGCAGGCATGCACACACTCAAAGGGAAAGGGGTTTGTAACTGGAGGGTGACACCCCTTTACACAAAGTATTCACAATCTGCCTCTCCTACGAGCTTTCTAGGAGCCCTGAACTCTCCGTAGGCAGCAGTACTAGCACAGAGCTGCCTAAGGCAGAACTTTCCATCTGGGATTCCAAGCAGGGGTTTCTGCTAGACTGACTGAGCCACTGACTCCAGGAAGCCCCACGCAGCATGTTCTTGGGGGTCAGTACCAACAGGAGATTTGACCTGCCTTTCATGGTTGGAACACTGCAGTGCAGTGACTTCTCAAGTACCTGTTGGTAGAGCTGAAGATGAAAAAAGCACTGGCATCCGGCATGGGCGCGGCCTTTTCTTTGAGGTGCAGTTCAGACATTGGGCGTGGCCGAGGGCCGACAGGCATTTCAGGCTCCTCCTCCTCTTCCTCTGCTGGAAGGAACAGTTAGGCTTTTAATGCTATGGAGTTGCAGTCACTGGTTCACTTGAGTGCAAAGCACATTATGTACCTCTGAAGTTTCGGTTCTTTCTCTGGGTTGGCTACAGCTAAAACGTCTCCTCTTGCATTATGTGAACCTTGCACAGAGCCAACACCTTGCCTGAGGTTGTGTCAAGATGAGTGAGTGTGCCACTAAGAAAACACTAGGGACTGAAGCTTTGTCAAATGCCAGTCAGAAGTTCTCAGAATTGTCACTTTTTAGAATTCAGGAGAGAGAACTGAAAAGCTAGAGACAAAGGTAAAACTCTTGAACTAAGTTCCTAAGAAGCAGAGCTTCAGGCACTGCACAGATCAGTGACTAACCCGCAAGGAAGAAATGCAGAGATGGGGATTTGGGGCCTTGCAGGGAAGGGTTGAAAGAGAATGTTTACCCTTTGAGGATTTCAAGATCCTGTTAAAGTCATACATTACTTTGTGCAGGATTTTGCTGTTTTACAGATGTTCCCTTCATTTAATTAGTAAGATTGGTGGAAATGCTGAAAGATGGGAGAGATTACTCACTACCCACAACAAAATTTATCTTCCGGTCAGTGCCTACAAGGCAATTCTACTTTAATAAAATAGTTTCTTTAGCCCACACAAAATAAGATAAATTCCAGGTA